GAGGCTCCTTGGAAGTCTCCCTCGCTCCCAGCGTCGTGCATTTTTTCTTACATATTAAACCCCGCTGTCCCCCGCCCGCTCCGTTTCGCCCGTGACTCCTCTTTTTAATCGATTTTCCCGACACAAGGGGTGAGCGCCGTGGGGTGAATGTAATTTTTTATGCGTTTTTTTCCATCGGAGGAAACCGTCGCCGGAGGTGCCATTACGCTACGGCTTGTTGAGAATATTTTAATTATAAGGCATTAGCGCGTTTTATGATACCACTCCCGCCCAAGTTTATAAATGATCGAGAGCTAAAGTAATTAAATATTTGAATGCGGTGAGATTTCCGCGGGGAGTAGGAAGGAAGTTGAGATAATGGAGGTTTGAAACCACTCGCGCGGCGCCCTGATGGATATAAAATTCGATCGAATTATCTCGTAATGCAAGATCAAATTACTATAGGGAAACTCGGCTTGAGACATATTTCAGAAAATATTCTAAATTTTAAAAGTTCTAAGTGTACCTAATGGAGAAGCAACGAGCTATTGAATTAACGAAAAAAACTCTAAATCAATAAATTTATATGTGAATACTTTATACAATTTAACATTATTTAAACAAACAATAAATCAATATCCATGAAACTCACGGGACCTTTATCAAAATCAAGTCTCTTTTGCACTCTGAAAAACTAATCGCTAGCTAACCCTCCCACTGATTGATGATTGTCCTTCCACGAACTATCGTTTACATTCGTGGGATTTTATTACAAATAATATAAATATTTGAATCGAATACATCCTTTTGTACGTTGACAGAAACCACTAATCAAAATACAAATGAAAATTAATATCCCTTTACAAATATACGTTTAAATAAAAAACAAATAAGTACAAATCTTTAAGTATAAAAAATATATTCATAATTAATCTAACACTAATACATCTATAGCTCAATGGGATTTCTATAGAAAAAAAAATATCTCGTTACATTTATATTAATTAATAAATGTATTTGTATATTAAAAGCTTTCATTTAAATATAATTATCATAACTACAACCACAGTATATTCCACTACACAGTAAACTCAAACAAAGTCACCTCGTATAAGTAGAATGACTGTTAATTCTATTACTGTGGTAAAGCGGATTCTAGTATTTGCGCGTGGTAGCGTGATCTAGGAAAACGGCCGACACCTCGGCTTTCAATTTTCACCCTTGCTTGCACACTAGCTATTTAAACTTACCGCATACGTGAAGGTTTTAAAATTATTATTATCATTATTAAAAATATACACTGTTCTAACAATACAATAGCATCAATATAATATATTAAGTAATATTTATTGTTATAAACATAAATAATTCGTTAATACATTATGCATTAAATATACTTAAGTAAAATGTATATTAACACTGCGTATACTTTTCTAGTCTGCGTGCGTAGAACTAGAGTAATGGCATTAGCTGTTAATGTTAGTAGCATTAACATACTATCCGCAAACAGTGTAATTATTTCCCGTGCTAGTGTAATACAATTTGCTACTTTTATGTTATTACACCGGCGTTTTTTTCTATTAATCTATAAATTGAATTAATGGTTTAAGTTCATTGCTTAGGTTATACGAGTAGAAATAGCGTTGCAATCATGCATCGTTCTATACATTTGAAACTGTTATTTTAATTAATATTAAAAAGTAAATTATCTTAATATCCTAAGTAATTAATTGTTTATACGACGTTAAAGGTTAGAAATCTTAACCTAATTGTTAATGGTATTTATTTAAAGCTAGTATTTACTTCAAATTGATTTTGTGAGCACTTTGTATTCCAAAGCTCTGGAGATAAACTGTCTGCGAACTAAATCCTTTTATAGTACCTTTTCTCTAATTGCTTTGACTTGCGACGCTGATGAGACAGTGGGTTCCCCTATCTAAGTACTATCGACTTTTCTATATATATTTCACAAATTGAACCTTATTTTTAGTACACTAAGAAACATTTTTGTATTGACGTCCGTTATTGAAAAGCAGTGACTGACCAGTTGATAATCCTTAAGAGATTGATTTGATTATATGTAGAAACGGCTGTATAATTTTGCTGCACGATTTAAAATAATGACAAATCACCACCACTATACATATAAAATTATATACATACATGTATTAAATTACTTCTCATATTTTTAATAACTAAGTTGACAAATAGTAAACTATAAAAATAACTCAATTTGTCGCTGTCAATGTAGTTGTGGAGTGGTCAATACGAATACATATTTACACAAGGGGATAAAACTTGGCAACACTTGACCCTAGATCAGAACAGGTCAGCACGGATTCCCACATGTTCCACTTTAATTACCATCCATCAAGTTGACGGACGCAGTATCGGCTTCATCTTGAATACAAGTTACCGAATACGGCTGACACGTAATTGATGCTACTAATATAAGCTTCGTATGAACTCGGACATATAAAATTGAATATAGGAGACTTTATTTACCTATTTATTATTGTTAAAGTAAAAAATGTCGAGCTCTAAAAGTTCAGCCTTTCGAAAAGGACAAACACATGAATGCATAGTCTTCTCCTGGTCCAATAATAGCATCCTTAATGAGATGTAAATGAGCGAAGAAGTAGCCGACTCCGTTCGCGTTATAATAACGCGTAACGACCTACAAGTCCGGATTAAGAAGCCCTTTGACTTAAACCTAGGCATCTAGTGAAATCGCCAACCTTTATTTATTGCTATTGTTACAATTACATCCTTAAATATATGACTATAGAGCTCATTTTCCATTACTGTATGCTAATTACTAAGTGCGCGGCGGTGTTAGCAATACAATAGTGTGGATATTTTGAAACTAATTGGCAGAGAGGGTTGCGAATGAACGTCACGGCCGGCGAGCTGTGGAGTAACCGGCTTTGTGCTGGAGCTTGATATATTGCTTAGATTCTTTACTTTCAATTATACTGAATAATATTGATTCTATGAAAGTCCCCAGATTGTGTCTTCGATTGTAAACTTTTATTTATAGCTGGTCAAGTCGAATCGTTCAACTCTTTTCCACTTAGCTATCATGCAGCATAAGCAAATACATTCTCATACTGACAAACACGCATAAATCAAAAAGCATCAACATACGTTAAGGCAACCCTTTTAATATTTATTTAACCTCTTGGACATGTCGGATTCATTACAGTGAACATTGTTAAACGTAATGTTCGAACAATCTCAATAGGTAAGGTCTCATTACTACAAACACGATCGTTCAATCAAGCGAGCGATTGTTGAGAGAGATCGAAAGCTACGCTCCGTTTCGGACAACATTATTCAAATAGATTCCTGCATGGTATTAAATTGAACGGAATCAAGTAGGAAACTATAATAATAAATATAAAATATCGATGTAAAAACATAGTTATTTTATATACCAAAATCATTGAAGTCGCTAATAATTTGTAACTTATTTCAATATTTTATGCCATCGTAACCAGATATATTCATATTCAAATCGAAATCACAGTACCATTTTTATAAAACTGATGAATCATAGGCCGTTTCCAGAAAGTATTTGCTTTGTTTAAACGCTCATACGCTAACTGATTAGGGTGGTCTAGTGGTTATGCAGGATCCAGGCCATGTATTATGCATTCGTGAATATAAGACGCATAAACCAGAGTCCGAATCAATTATAGAGGCGGTTTGAGCTCGTTAGAAACGCATCACGCATCTTCAATCGAATGCAGTACGGGAAACAGCGTTTATTTGGTGTTAAGACTCAGAAAACAATGGGACACCCAAATTAGGAGTTCGTAGTTGGAAGGTAGCTGATTGATGCCTCTTTGTATTATCAATTCGAGGCCGTGATACATGCCAATGTGTTTGCGATGATAATTTAGGTATTTTACGATACAGCTTCTGACTTACAAGTGTATGATATGACCGTAATGAGAGAATTCGGCCCAACAAAAAGTATAAGGATATTGGCGATGAAAATAATATTGGCTTCTCATGTTTAAATTATATTACTAAAATGAAATAATTTGATGATCACGATACTTTTAACTTAAAAATGTCTATTTTAATTTGTAATACAAAGTACTGAGTACGGATTAGTTAAATAAGGTGCTCGAGACTTGTTGAGTAATCCGAGTATACAAAATTCAATGTCTTTGTCTCTTGTTTCAGGTATAAATCTCAACACCATGCAGCCGCAGCCGCAAGGGCTAATAGTGGAGACGGGGAACGGTGCGAGCGTCTTGCAACTTCCAGCAACAACACTGGACCAAATCCGTCACATTGCTGCAGACCCGGGGGCGTCCACTCTCCGCCTACCACCACCGGCTACAGAAATACCAGCTGGCGCGAGAGAAACTGACTTCGACCTGTGCTATGTTTGCAAACACTGTAAAGTAGCTTTTCCCTCGGCCGCCCCTCTGCAGTCACATCAATCGCGTTCCTGCTACCTTGGCCGTGAGGCTATGCGTGGGGTGATACGCGTTGTACAACCAGCGCTGGAATGCAGGTCCTGCCCAGGTGAAAGATTTCGCACAGCTGTGGAGTTCCGCAGACATGCCGAGTCTGAAATCCACATGCATAATTCAATGCAACAGCAACAACCACCTTTATCAGAGCCTCTCAGCCACGAGATGGAAGACGTTGTTAACCAGATAACCCTCCTGGCAGCACGCGCCGCGCAGGACACCACCTCTTCTAAGGACCCGAACGTCAACTTCTGCGCACCCGGTCCGCGCTTCCCGCAACCTGGCGAACTGCCCCTCGCCAGCGCTGGCCATTAATCCTAACTAAGAAATGTATAGTTACTACTACTAGAGCCTCTCGCTCTCTTCGTTGTTCAACAACGCAACAGTTCACTATTAGCTCTTAATGCTTCTTTTCGTTGATGAATGTTGTTGCAAAAGCAACACTTTCTTAGTTATACGTTTAAAGCTTGTAGTCGTTAAGTGTAGGTTAATGGGAGCTGGCCCTCGTTGTAAGTTTTTGTACGTAACACAATGAAGGCAGCTCGCTCCCGCGCCGCCTCCTCGCACTGGGACGCGGCGGCGGCGCCCGCTGACCGCACCACGCCACCAGGCCGCCGCTCTTCATATCATACGTTAGACAGGTTTTATTATATACGTTTATCGTTGCGGCCGTGCGGGGCTTGCGGTCGAGTCGGCTAGCTCGTTCTTTACCATCGTCTCCCAGGTAAACAAGTTCCTATCTTTATGGCATATAATATTATCGGTATTGATAATTACGATTTAATTATTGTTTAAAGCTATGTAATACATACATATAATCGTTCTAATTTTAGGCATAGATACGTTCTGATAAGAAGTTCCTGATGCATCGTAAATGTATGAAGATATATATACGTATATGATTTTTTAAACGTGAGGCGAAGTTAGGTACGTATGTTAGGCAGTAGTGCGGTCGTCCTCTCGCGCGGGTTTTAACGCTCATACAAAACGTGTCCCCACAGAGTAGTATCAGACGCGACCCTCCGTATGGGAAGAGTGCCGTAACTTTTGTATAACTGAATGTAACTCTGGGTACAAGGGTATCCATTGCAGTGTACAGATGTACTTCGGATCGGAGACGTGGGAGCCGCCCGTGGAGACGCGACGACACCGCGTAGGCTTATTGGTAACGATTAATTATAATAATTATTATCGTAGCAAACTTTTCCAAAACGAACGAACTCGAAACTCGGGCTGCGCGCTAGCGCTCAGCCTACCTCGCAAACAAGTGAGTTTATTTTGGAACTAAGTGTGATTCTTGAATTTTTATTGATATTGTAATGATTATTAGTAGTTGCGTAAGTGAGTGAAAGTCTTGGAGGTACATGCTGCGCGGCTCGGTGTTCGTTCACCCCGCCCGCATGTATGTATGTTCATCACTTTACGTGTGCGTGAAGTCCCTTATATTTTCGATGGCACAGATCACGTTACTAAAAATATTTTTCATATTTACATTTTATCTTACGGAGTGTCATAGAATATTTTATCTTCGAGCGAATCCTACTACAACATTGAGTTTGTTCTTTATAAAGTGCAATGTTTTATTCCGCCGGTCGCCGGCGGTTCTTGTTATGTGTATGTGTAATGGGGCGATGCTTGCGCGCGATGCGTCTCCCTCCGATCGCTATACGATCTCCAAAACTACAGCAAATAAATAGATCCCCTTCATAATTCTATTAATGAAACTATACCGGATTGAATGTTAGATAAATATACCGTAGTATAATCAAGTCGTACCGTACCTACTGTTGAACATAATATATACAGAGTATACGGAGCTTATCTCACCGACGCAGCCTCGGGCGTGAGTGAATCAATGCGCGCACGCATGTTACCGACGCGACGCTGACGGCGCGCGTTCCTACTACATGATTATTTCGTTTTCTGCGTTACAAAGTTTGTCTAATGTTTATTGATAGTGGCCCTATTGTTTGTTGAGTCGTTCGCAACACTCCAGCGCGTACTAGTGTATCCTACGGACGGTAGTTTAGGAAGATATTTATTTTATCGGTTTGTAATCGGGAGTATACTGTAAGTTTGAGTTAGCGTAGGTGACAAGTCGGTAGTGCGATGTGTCTCCGCGGGCTGTCGTCCGCGGAATGAATCATGGTTCCTATGTATATTTCAATATTATCGCATCTAGAGTTTCACTATACTTTCCGAATACAAATTTTAATATTTAAGATTAATTCGGATTTGTCTGTTGTATCTGCTACTAGAGGTGAGGCCGCGGCCACGTTGATTGTTTAGTTATACAGGATGTTTTTATTTGTTTCCATATTTTTGTAAAGGATATTCATCACTTTTATATTAGTGTCTATTGAAATTTTGTTATTATGAAAATTATTTATGTATGTCAACTCCACCATTCTTTAGGTGTAAACTATTTTAAATATAAGTTAAAGTTTGTAAAAGGTAGCACTCGCGTCTATCATAGTTCCTATACTGTATCGTAATACTAAATTATTTTAAAATTCTTTCATAGTTAAATACACCGTTCCTAATATTCTTAACATTAATTAAATTTTACGTTATCTGTAATAGACCGTGTATTATAATGCATTGCATGTGTTTAACAATTCTTTTTTAATTTTTATCAGTGTATTGTAAGTGAGGTCAATTTTATTGAGTATTGTTTGTTCATCAAGTAGTCATGTACGTGAGTGTTCGTAGGCGTGCTACGCGTGTGCTACGCGCCTACGACGCATGCCACCCGTAGCCGGCAACAGATTACGAATACATTGTCAAGTGTAAATGGTAAAAATAAACTCAAAGTTAGTTTATCAGAAACTGGAGTTTTATTTTCATGTGACCCCCTCATTACATATATGTATCTATAAAAATATTATGACTCTTATTTGATACGAAAATATATATTTTCAATTTAGAAATATAATTAAAAAATATATTACCTTTTAAATAAGAAAGTAATTACATATTTACATTAAGTATGAATTTTATACTTTACTCAAGTGAGGTTTTAAAGTAAAGTCAACTTTAAAACCTCGATGATTTTTGTCAAAACTGCTTTGATAATAAGTTAAATAAAAAATATACCCTATATGAATTCAGATTATATAAATTAAATAGTCACATATTATACATCAGATAAATAAAAGTAAAAGGTGAAGCTATAAATAAGCTTGTCATATCCTTGTCTTTGGTAAACAACATAACTCACTATGAGCTTTAAGAGTTCAGTATAGTTCTGGCTCTTCATAAAAATAAATATATCATAATATAAAGTATAATATATTACAGCCTTTAATACTTTTCAAGAATACCTGACAGACTGGAAGGTTAATTGTTTAATGCAAGATACATACTATCTATTAGCATATACATTGTGATATGATGTCTAAAATCAAGGGTATTTTTCACCATACCTTCTAAATAGAACTGCTTGGTATTGGTATAAAAATCATCAGATTTTTAGACAGATGACTTGATGAAACGATTCATAAATACGATGAAAATAACACAAATATAAGAAGTATTTTTGTTTTGTTTTCATTATCATCAATTGATATAAAATACATGGTCCGAAAGCACAATTTAAATGAGGACATTATACACACATACACACACACACACACACACATATTTAAATATATGTATATATACACACATGGCAAAATCGTTTCATGTAACTTTGTCTTGATGGCTTTTGTACTTTTCTAGAGATTTTGTTATTACTTAACATGAATTGGAAAGACATTAAGACATCATATCAAAAATCACACGATTCATTGAGATTTTTGTGATCCTTCTTTTAGTTATTTCATTCATTTTATGATAAAGCATAGAAAACAAAAAAATAAAAATCAATACAATTATATATGAACGTCTTGTTTTTTCTTCACTATATAATTTTTTTGATTGAGATATAAATTAAGAATATTTATACAATATTCAAAAGTTTGATTGTTTACATAAATAGCTTTATTTAAAATAATTTATTTATCAAGGATCTTTTATAAGTCAGTCTCCTCTTTTAATAATCATTACCTTCCATTCCTAATCTTACACTAGGTGAGATCGACACACTAAATACTCTTTCTCAACTCCAATCTACTCTTCATCTCCACAACCATTCATCTTTAACACACTTCTTCTTTCAGACAGTACACCATCATTTTTCATTAATACTTAACTGTATATAAATAGCAATGCACTAACCAAATCAATTGAAATTTCTACCTATTAAATTGTAAGCAAATATATGTATTGAAACAAAAATATATAAATTACATTTATTTTAAAAAACTATACATTCAATAAAGATACATATTTCATAAAAAAAAATGGACATCCTCAGAGTGTTATGGACTTAGGAAATAACTGGATAAATTGTGTTCATTAAAAATTTGTATTTATCGAGCTTCTTTTGTTAAACTCTCGATATTTTTATCATTATAAAGTTAAAGTGTATAAACGTTTGAGGTGCTTTGTTTTGTACACATCACAAGTACACAAAATTAAAAAATAATTTAATTAATATAAATTATAATGTAATTATTTGAGTCCATTAGGTCACGTTAGTGATAGTTTAATAAATATTTACGTACAAAATTGTAAAACAAATAGATTTGTTTGTTAATATTTTATTTTGACACATAAGTTGGTAGTGATATTCTGGTAAACAGAAACAATATTGAATTCAACAGCTCCTTTTTATTAAATGGAAATAACCATAATTCGACTTAATATTATTGAATATGAATTAATATATTTCCATGTATAAAATATTTTAAAATTTATTTTATTTGAGATAGTAAAATCTTTTTTTATTAATTAAACAATAAAAAAACCAAAATTACATATATAGTAGAAAATATTTCAAACTATAAATTTTAATTACGATAAGAGTATATATAAATAAAACATTTATTTCAGATTTCAGGAATACGATAAAAATTATTAAAGTTTTATCAACAAAATAAATTGTGTTAATACAAAACAATAAATTAAATTAAATTAAATTATTAGGATAGGATTAAAAAAAATCTGTTTCCTTAAATACCGTAATACCAAAATGAATCTTTTTATATATACATATAATTACGAAAATGTTATGTCTTTTTAAATTTGTGACTTTCATTTTTAGATGTTTGCACATCATTACTTTTGAGTGCAAAATTGAACTTCAAAGGTAATAAAATAAAAACCGAGTGTGAAATGATCAATTCGTTAAGTAACGTCAACAACAAAACTCTTTCAAAAGCTCCTCTAATCAAACGATGTTTGAACAAAAACTGACGATATTCGCATCTGCTCACACTTCAGACACGATTACTTCGTTAGGTGTCAATTTAATAAGGCCTTTCCTTCACTCTTATAATCATAAGGCAAAATATGTATTTATTGAAAATTAAATTTTATAAACATAAATAAAGTTTATAAGTAATATTTTAGTTTCTTGAGTTACCAATATATTATCAAAGTTTTTCTCATATTTGATGAAAATTTGATTTATTTATAACAGATCAAGACATTTTAGTCGCGAGTCTGTGTTTTACCCTTTAGATAGAAGGAACTGTCGCACGGCCGGATGCAAAGGGGATCTCACTAAGTTATTGATTATATCGGAATAAGTCGCGGGGGCACCCCACACTCCCGGGTTTAGAATATCGGCATTATTTTACATACATGAGACATCTCGCTCAGGAGATTTACGGAAGTGTGGACGTGCTATTGTTGTTTATTTAGAATACAGCATGGGAATAAACATCAAAAATGATGCACGTTTATGTATGGAAGATGCAAATATTTACAAGTTTTTGTAGCATTCATGGCCAAAAAAATACGATCCTAACACAAGTACTAGTAATTGGTGGTATTAAAATAATTGCTTTTATACTGATTTATAGGTCTCGTGATGCATACATGCTAGTTCTTTTCCGATATATACTTAATGCGATAAATAAAATCCCGTGAAAGAAATTTGCGGAGCAAAGAAGCTAGGAACCCTTACGAATTCACACCGAGTCCTCTATGTACAAGTTTTAAAGGAAAGGGATTGGATTAAAAAGTATATTACACTTAGACACTCTCAGGGATTTTTATTACAAATCATATTGTAATATCAAAGAAAGCATGTTTGTTATTTAACACGGAATTGCTTACTTACAAGATTTAAAGGTTTGTGTAGACAGTATGTTACAACAGACCTGTAGTTGAAATAGTTCATTTTTTTGTATTTGGTTGATTGAGTTATAAACCATTACACATGTAGGTACCTATATATATAACAAAATTTTGTTTATGACACTGATAGGACTATCAAGATTGATATTCAAAATATTTGCATGCAATTAATTAAACATCTATATTGTCTTTATATAACAGTATAGTAGGTAAATATAAGTGTAACACATGAGCACATCACAATACACATAGAATTGTATAACATGACTGTCAAACTTTCAGTGAATTTCAACACTTTAGATATGGTCTTAGTTTAAGCTAACTTTGTATCGCCTTTCGGTGTTCATAGTATTGCAGAGAGTCCGAACCGCGCACCGAACCGATAACTCTCGTTATAACGATGGGGAGAGAATTTTAATGTGCCACCATTTTGGCGCAATGCTCAAATTTTACGACCGCCGAGTCATTATGAGGGAAATTATTGGCGCTCTGATTGCTTTAGCTGTGATAAAAATTCTCAAGTCGGCAATAAGGTGGAACTAATTCCTACTAATGGTATTTTTCATAGCGATCATCCAAATGTTTATTAATGAGTACACGCGAATGACTTTAAATATTTTGAAGTAAGGTCAGCGAGACGATCAGTACATACACAAATCAATAAATAATTTACTTGAATGCAAATGGTCAATAAATTAAAATAAAATTAGTTAATTTTTTTATACAAATTCAACAAGATGATAAATTAAATGATAAAAATTTTACACGGTTTAAAAATGACCAATAGACTGTCTAAAATACACTAAGGTAATAACATATTATATTAATAAATGTAATAAACTAAGATAAATATCATATTACATATTTAATATGTATACCAAAGTATTAACTTTACCTCATAGTATGAACAGGAATATAAGACTTATAAAAGATAGTACTTAACAATTTAAAATATATTCAAAACTTGCCGTGTAAGAGCAGTAGCCAGGTATGATCCACAATCCTATTATCAGAGCCAAGTTCTTAAACGCGATAACACAATGCCGTCTACTGCAAGATATATTACTATTCAACTTACTTAAAACTCAAAGTCCATCAAAAGTTTCGAACAAAGCTTAAAAGTTAAAAGAAAATATCCGAGTCAGGTGGAGTCTGGTGAATAGACAAAGTTGGAGTGATTAATGAGAGCTACTGTTTAAATTATTCTTAATAGGGATTACAGAATTTGAATATTAAGTGAGTATTTAAAATATTACTCTATTAAACTTTGGCATATAGTGAGTACACGGCTTAAATATATATATCAAAGATATAGTTTAATTAATACCTATATTGAGTCATAACGATGTTGTAGTCTAATGGTAAATGCCTTAACATAATATATATGGTTTAATGTAAACAAAGTTATGATACAAAAACATTTTATTTCGTTTTGCTCCATTTTTTCATCCTGTCACTGTGCTCTTATAACTCCTTTACCAGGCTACCAAATGATTTTTATATTTCACTCACGTTACCATATTCAATTAAGTTTATTATTGCAACTTGTGCTTAAAGTTTAACACAATAAAAAGCAAATTGGAATACAATCTGCTTAGAAATTATTGACCCTAGAAGGGGTTGTGCATTTTTGTAGCTGTACAAATTGAGGCTATGTTTATCTCGACCCCATCCCCCTTTCTGTTTATCAACCCTTACAGCATCCCGATTGACTGTTACGTTGTTTCTGATCTTGATCATTCCTACTGCATTGATTGAGTAATACGATATATTTTTACTTTCAAACCTTAAAGAATTCTCAACATTTACTTATAATAAAATAAAAAAAAATATAGTGTTACTAACAATTTATATTTCGACGTGTACATGAAAGGAAATATTTATCTTTTAACTCAACATGAAAACGTGGTTCTGTTCTTACACAACATAAATGAGTGTATTTTAGCCTCGAAATGTCCTCAACAGATTTATAACTATAATTCTGCAAAAGAAGACGAGGTGCTATCGCTTTGTATTGACACCTTAATGCTATTGTTTGATTTAGAGAGCTCATTACAGCGCGGGAAGAGGTTAGCGTGCTAAAGGTGTAACTTAATACCAGTTTACGTTCAAGATAATTTTATATTAAACTCAATGTAGTACTAAATAATATTTGAATTAAGATTTATTTATTTATAGTATGAGACTTTTATTTGTTTGAAGGTACAACTAGTTTATGAATTTTAATGTAGAGAGTAAAGAAACACACGATTAAAAATCAATTTTATATATAGAAACTAAATGTTTATATGTGTTTCAAGACGAAGTTCAACCTCAAATCTAAGACATAAGTAAAAATGAATCGTGAAATTGTTCTATGTATAATATACTTGTAATATTTAAATAGTTTTTAAACAATTATTTCTTTCCAGTTATTTCGTCTTAATTCTAAGCCTTTAACAGGACACAAAATAGACAATCTCGTATCGTTCACGTCATAATAATAGATAATTTTATGCTTCGGGACAATACGATATAAAATTATCTGTTAGATCCAATAATCGCACGGAACGGTCGGGACTTAATGCCGGCCAATCATTAGCTACAAGGGATAACGGACCCGTCGGCCACTATGGCCCATTAACGTTGCAAGAGGCACTGCGATGCCCCGTGACCAAACGTCAATGCAACCTCAGCGTGTTTGCATCCTCGGATATGCCCCGAGGAGAGATGATCTAGTGGCGGACAAAGGAATGACTTCATTGTAACTTCGGCTGTACTGGAAATTTTTATTGTATTTCTCGGAACGTAAGTTATTTCCCTTACGTATTATAATTATAGGGCTTCGACACAGGCTTGTACTAAAGGAATTGAGACGGTCCATTCGAGTTGAGAGGGTCATCGCAATCAACGACTCATAACAAACCAATAAGCACCTGCAATTATATTATCGGTACGGCGTAAGTACGGCGAGTCCACTATCATTAGCACGGGAAAGCGATCAGTTATTTGCGGGACGGGCTGAGCCGTGTTGGTTTACAGAGCACCCCCGAAGGAGATGCATTCCACCAGCTCACGATCTCACGACTGCACAACAATAATTACCCGTGGGTGTACGCCATTATAATTCGCGAGCGATTATTATCAATCGTAGCGCTAGCGGTCACCGCTTAGAAACTGATGTAATGGGATAAATTATAGTAATATCATAACTGAGGATAAAAAGGTTGAGATAATTGTTCCGTTTAAACGATATGGACTGTTAAATAGGATCAGTTAGCGAGCAAGCGAAATGTACACACTGCATGCATGTGTCGGGAGCGTAATTATGTAAATATACCGTATGGTAGGAACAGAACTGGATACAATATCGCACCGCCGCCGGCCACTCATTCTTCAAGCCAACTCGACTGGGACGTCGCTAATTTTCTATCGTTGTGGTCACGGTACATTTTATAGAGTTAAAGATTTTGAAATTGAGGTGTCAGTGCATCGTATTTATTGCCATTGCATGGCAACCACTCTAGAACAAAACAACGTTATAAAACCGCTAATCATAGCCTGAAGCGGCGTTTCACATTATCTTGTTTCAAAACAATGTGCATAAAAGCATTTTATAAAACATTTTAAATACCAACAAAATGTATTTAAACAAATTAAACTATAACTTATAAAATTTCAAATATTTTTCTAGTATAATTCAATACAAATATATATTAAACATTTATATATATTTTACATTTAATAACAGTAACAGATTACACAACGAGAATAAAGACTTCGATAATACTGTTGTTATTTATGTGAATAGCGATTTAACAGTCATATATCTTTAAGATTACAATGATATTAAATCAACGTAATATATGAATGTGAACAAGTACAACGGGCTATATAAAAATAGAAGCAATATATCGAACGGTGCATTAGTTTATTATGACAAAGCACACAGTTTACCGTAGTATGATTTGAGAGAGAACAATCAAAAGGCTTGCATATCCGTCACAATGGCAGCGTGTTGTTTAGTTATTATGTAAGCGCTAGGGCCAACGGAATCGGTTCCTATCCGTACTTCCAAATGCCTTTAGGAGTTTGTAAATTGTTCGTAGTTCACGCTCCGCTCATTACCACAACAGTAATGTGTTCCGTCATCGAGATTAACTTTGCTCTAATGGAGGCAACTCTTATTTATATCTGCGGCGTCACTATTACAATTTTATCTAATTGAGCTTTGTCCGCTTTTAGTAAAATGGCCAATTTTGTTATAATGTTTTCTTGGTTATTTGTTAAATGGGATCAAATTGTTCTCTTTAAATGTATTTTAACAGTATTATGTTGTGATTGTTATATTAATGACCATAACAGATCATTAAGGTTTACTGTAATTTTAAATCAATCAAACCATTTTATACACGTTAATAAAATATATGTACTTGAAAATTAATATTAAAAATTATTATGTTTAGAACAATTATACAATGCATTAATCCATTCCACGTAATATATATCAAAATTATTATCATTTTAGTACAAATAATAATTTTAAAATATCAATTTAACGGTTTCTTTAATTACTCGCATACATATTAAAATATTCGTAAAAAAATAAAAAGAGAACTCATACTTTATTTTCGATACAAGATTAGTGAAGTTAATGCCTAATTTCTAAGCCGATACATCTGAATTATTAGTATAAGATGCAAGACTAATTATTGGTTACAGCGATCGATCAAAGGGCGCGGAGAGCGGCCCAGCGTCCGCAACGCCGATGGCGACCCACTGTTCACCTGCGAGCCATAGGGTTGACACATAAAACAATTAATAACAATGTAAATATTAAAAAATATACTTAAACCTTCGAAATTTAATGACCCTAACAATTAGTATTAAAACATCAAATTTGTACATACTTAATGACCGTATATGCAGAGTATAGTTGTAATAATTGTTACAATATACATCTCATGTAACACAACCCTGAAACAATGCAAAAATTGCTAAGATAATGAACCATAATACAAAGCGCGATACAAACTTCATTCTCGCCCACGGCTGTATTAACTTGTTACTTAGAATACGGTATAAAGATTTCTGGAGAATGTTACCCTTTACCATTACGGTTAATTTTTAACTTCTTGTATATAATGAAAGAATTTTAATTGTTATTATAATGTACATTTATGTATGAATTTGTTGGCTGATTTTAGGTACTGTGTCGTTGGTTGAAAAAAATATTCGAACTTAGTCAACCACATTCCATATTTCTTCTAGTATTATCAAAACAACGAGAGCTTTATATATTTAGTTCATTACAATTACGATTACAATACCATTTTGTAGTTGAGATAATTATGACCAGCTAAAATAATTACAACTGAACTTCGTATATCATTACAGACCAGACATAAAATTATAACTTATAATTAAATTTAGCTTTTAAAGATTCAAATTAAATTCGAGATAAATACAGTTTTATCCTCAAACAGATTATGGATTCAATTTAAAAAGTATTTCAAATATCCTGGCAAATATTCATTTATCGGCTTAAAAACAACTGTAGAATTGACTTGTGGACTGTCTTCCCTCTTTATCTGATATGATACGAAAGACAAGCTCATATTCTTCTTGGTCCACACTCCACATATTCCACCTACAATTAAAATCTATTAAGCCGTTTAGTAGTAAATATGTAACAAACAAGCAGAGCTACATTTGCTCTTATAATATTTCAAAGTTGTTTACTACACTTGAATGCGAATTAAAAATCCGATTCTAATAATACCTATTTTACCAAATATACATGAGCTGTTTTATTAGCTCTTATAAGCAAACATTCTTGATTTATTTAAGTACGGCAGTAGTGAAAATACAGATTTTATATTATCATCGGTGAAAAATCACCGATTAAACATCCTTAGATCATTATAATTTTCTGAATAAAATAGAGCTGAACCAAATTATTGAAACCCGTCCGTTGCGAATATCGAAATGAGTTATACAGGGTGACTGGTGAATTACTTTCAATATTTAAGGAGAATACTCTGTACATGATTCTCATTCGAATTATGTAAAAAAAATAGGTTACTTAATTTTTGACCAAATTTCCGTATAAATAAATAAAGTGTGGACACGTTCCAAGTGTGGACGCGTGCGGCGGCGTGCTGATACAACACCACGCCGCCGCACGCGTGTGTGTGTGTGTGTGTGTGTGTGTGTGTGTGTGTATACCTAATATGTAGGGTGTTCACAAGATGCGTAATTAATTACATAACTTTTGGTTAACTTTACTTAGAAGTTTATTAATATTTATGTTATATTAATTGTTATTTTGTCATATATGATCGTCAAATATCACGTCCTCAAGTTTCGATAGTAATTCACCAGTCACCCTGTATAGTGCATTGCATGCATTCAACATTTGTTTGTATAAAATCTTGTATACATTTCGAAATCCAAATATGTCACAGATTATTTTATTTCTCATATATTTTTGTCTTTATTGAAATCATACTTTCTTGACATTAGCATCTTCTTTAGTCTTGCCATATAAAATATCTGTAATAGATCATTTACTTTGATGTCATTTCAAGAATCTCATTTTCGATTCTGAGAACATCTCGTGACGATTTCTTAAAAACAAAAGAGTCCACTATTATTCATGATTAGATGCCGCCACAAAAACTTAGAAATCATCATCAAAAAAAGGTCGTACATAATTTTTGATAATTACAGAGCATAAAATTAAACGGACTACTTGAGCGTGGGACGAAGAAGCACATACGTAAATAATTGTTTCTTATTAAAATCAACGTTAATATTTTTCGGGGCAGATTCCAGCGCACCATCGTATTATGTTTAAGAATCGACAGCTATAATTTCTGTTCAATCAAGATTTAATTGTTTTAATGAGCCTACATGCGTGAATGGCCGCCCCAATTATTGTTTATTTTTAATCGCCTCAAGTGGTTTTTATGTTCGCAACCAGGCACGCATGGAGGCCGCAAGCTATCATTTTCATTATTTTAATAATGTTAACATACAATAATAATTTACAAAGATTTGGGGGTTAAACACGTTAAAGAATAATTATGAAATTCTGGAGTTGAGCTCAGATTATAATTTGATCCTTAAATAACTTTTGCTTTCTTTATTACAATCAATCTTAATCACTAATGAAAGGGAATAAACTCAATAATGGCATCGATGGGGGAGTTTATATATTATATATGTTTAATGAAACATTAAGCAAACACAACTGCATGTATTTGATATAAATTTTAATATTTATAAAGGTTTTGAAACCCACCAGAATGAAAAGATTCCATAAAAAAATTTAAAAAAATATACTAGTTTGAATCAAAGTGAATATAAGTTTCAAAACCAAAATATCTAATAACGTGTTCAATTTAATTTGACGGTTTATATAAAGGTTGCTTCTAGGAAATATATCTCAGCTTGTTGAATAATTTAAATCATTTTACCCTATATTTTAAATCAGAAATATAAGCTTCCAAATACGAGTGTTTGGAAGAGAGAACTATAGAAAAGAGAAATCACATATTTTATTAAAAAGTTAAATAAAACAAGTATATAGCATATAATCGAATAATACTTTAAAACACTGTAATTAAATGATGGACAACAATTTCTCTCAAAAAATTATAAAATTTTCCTAATCTATTTCACATCTTTCATATTCGAAACAAAAATAAATTTGCTAAACACACCAAGTATTTATT